TACTCTGGGCCTGGGTGTGATGGCAACTGTGGGATGGTTCATTGCTGTCAGGTGAAGGGCTGCTTTGGGCCCCATCCTACATGGAAGCATTGGCAGCAGCAGCATGAGAGCAAGGGCAGCGAGGCGAAGAACTGACTAAGCGTTTTGGTCCTTTCTGATCGAGGAAACTTTGACATCGTGCATGAGTGTTTAACAGAATGCGCAACACGCATGGGGATCCAGCTCAAGGTTGATCACCTTTGCGAGGACAGTAAACTTGGCAGCTGGACAGATCCCGTGGCTTGGGCTGCGATCTTCGATAAGGTTGCTGAGGAATGCTGGCAAGGTTTCATGTTGTTTCCACCATGTGGCACATTCAGCCGTGCCCGTCATCACAACAGTGCTTCGCGCAACGGCCCCAGACCTCTCAGAGGCCGTAATTTTCCACATGGTTTCCCGTGGCTTGCAAAGCAATCTCTTGAAGCTGTGCGACGTGAGGATTTTATCATTCATCAGTGTTTAAAGTTGATTCAACAAGCTTCTGAGGCTGGTATAGGATGGTCTTTGGTGCATCCCGAGGATTTGGGCAAGCTCAGGTCCTTGGAGGACCCGGCTAGCATTTGGCAATGGTCGGAGCTCAGGTCAGTGTTGGAGGACGCATCAAGTGCAGCAACTTGGGCTGTGCATCTGTGTGCATATGGTGCAGATGCAGCACACCCAACAAGGGTGGCCACAAACGTGTCGCAGGGGCCTTATGAACTACAGTGGCCCACCTTTGATGAATCAGGATTCTACATAGGGCCGTTGGGACGCTGTCCCCATGTGCATGAGAACAAGGTAGGGCGTCAGGGTTCGGACTGGGCCACCAGTTCAACCCTGCCCTCGGCTTTCGCTGAGGAGCTTGCGAACATGCTGCTTTGCTCGACTTGTGATCATCGCTCAACTGACGGGTCGTTCCAAGGTGCCGAGGCCTTTGCTGAATTTCTTTTGACAAAACATGAACCAATCAGTTTGCATGATGCCGAAGCTTTGTTTAAGTTGCTGCCGCTGGAGGCGGCGCATCCTGCCGTGCAAATGCCTAGCGATTCAGGTGATCAGGCATTCTTCGGGCCCCTTCAAAGGTCTTCGGAAGAGCTGCACTGCTTTCCCAAAGTCTCTTCAGTGCTTTACTCGACTTCTGCGGGCACACTTTCCTGGGGAGGTCTTCAGTTCACTTGGTGTTTTCTTGAATGTGCAAGCTGAGATGCATAAAGATTCCAGAAATGGTTCCCATCCCAACTTGTTGCTGGCCCTCTCAAGCTTCACTAATGGACAGGTCTGGACCGAGGACGCTGCTGGCACAATCTTCCGAGAGGTGCGTGGTGTTTTCAAGCCAGGTCGCTTACTCCCGGTCGCGGACTCTCCACAAAGGCTGATGGCACACCAATGCTACCATCAGACCGAACCGTGGACAGGCGAACGGCTGCTTCTTGTGGGTTTTACCATTTCCGATGCCTTGCAGCTTGAGTCATCCCATCTTGCCACATTGCGCGACTTAGGTTTTGTCTTGCCCGCTTCCTCTCACCTAAAGGGGGGGGATGCACTCGACGAAGACGGACAAGAACCACCTCTTAGCACCCCTCGAGATGCAGCCGCATCCGGGGCCCCAGCCGACCTTAGCACCCCCTCGGGAGGGTCCACCCGAGTGGCCCACGTTAGCGCCCCGACGGAGGGGCCCACTCTTTCGGCTTCACCTAGTGCCGTGTCTCCACTTGAGCAAACCCTTCAAGAAGACGTGGAGGAGGCCGATGACTCTGGAGATTTTGACCCGAACACATCGCGATGCCGGGGCCCGCCGATTAAATGCAGGCACACTCGAGAGTGGCGAGACTTGGTGGATGGGTTTGGGTTATGCTCGCCAGGCCGCTGGCGTCCCTTGGCCAGGAATGCGTTGGCAAGCTCTGGAGAATGGGATCATGCGGGTAAGATTCGAAAGGTTCTCGCAGAGGCCGTTCATCAGGCTATTCCCGATCTGAGGAAGGCTGCTTTTGCACTTGCAACAGGCCGTCTGATCAAGTCACCTTTCAGCGAAAAGCTGATCAATGATGTGAGGGCTCGGATGGCTGCGACTTTACCTGATCCTGAACAGGCTTTGTGTAAACCTGATGGGCAACCCTTCATGCTGCACATGCTTTCGCAGTCACTTAAGATCTTGGGTGACCCGGACTACGAGATACTTGATCAGGGCAACGAAAGTTTTGCTGAAGGGGTGCCCCTGGGGTGGGACAAGCCGATCGCCAGAACGCCTCAGGTCTTCCCAAAGCGTACTCACTTCAGGAAGCTCGACGAAAGCGACTTCGACCCTTCGATGGTCAATTATCGCTCCGCGGAGATGAATGCAGCACAGCTTGAAGAAAAGTTCAGACAGGATGAACAGGCCGGAATGATGTTGTGTACTACTGAACCAGAGGCTCGGCGGAAGTACGGCTCCGAGGCCGTGCTCATCGCCGCAATGGGTGCAGTGACTAAAGCTAATGGTGATGTCAGACCGCTGCATGACGGAACACACGGCATCAACTTGAACAACAGTATTGTCATCTTGGACAAGCTACAGGTCCCTGGGCCAGAGGACTTGCAGGAGGTTGCTTCGAGGGTGAAGGAAAGCAAGGAGGCGCCGTTTTCGCTATGTGCAGACATCAGCCACGCGCATCGCAACGTAAAGGTGCGAGAATGCGACTGGCCACGTTTGGCATGCAAGTCATCCAGTGCTTCGCGCGTCTTATGGCTCAACAAGGTTGGGACGTTTGGCGTGAGTTCCGCCGCCTACTACTGGACGCGCCTATTTGGCGCAGTAGGGCGGTGGGCCTTTCGCGTGTTGCACTTGGACAAGTTTTACATGCTTGTGTACGTTGATGATCTTCACGTGGTGGTGTATGGCAGTGACAAATTTGAAACCCTTTGGATCCTTTTCCTTGCGCTGGAAATCATGGGCACGCCTTTTTCTTTCCATAAGTTTAAAGGGGGCGTGAATGTTGATTACATCGGGTATCATCTTTGCTACTACACTTGGTCAGCAGGCATCTCAGAGAAACGTGCAACTTGGATCATTGGGTGGATCAACCAAGCTGAACAGGCACA